ATGGAAGAAAGGGATGTTTGAAATCCCGAAAAGAGGGCAAATGGGTAGGGGTCACCCTTTTCTGTGCATTTCTCTTCTATTCATCGTCGCGCTGTGATGACGTCACATACGCGCTTTCGTCGACCGCGCTTTTGTGGAACGCGGTTTTGACGGGTCACGCCGTTGATTATCTTTTCTCATCTGCAATCAGAATGGATAATTCTCTCCTGTTGAAAGTCATTATTGTAAGGGACGATGAATAGAAGAGAAATGCACAGAAAAGGGTGACCCCTACCCATTTGCCCTCTTTTCGGGATTTCAAACATCCCTTTCTTCCATGCCAGCTGTAACCAACTCTTCTCAAAGGTCTGTAGTCAACACTTTTCAAGTATTTTTGACGTTAGTCCTAAGAGGGCTGTATAACATCAAACCTATTCTAAACAGAACGGTATCCTTAAAAAACAATCCCTAATTTAGAAATGTTATATTACATGCAGTGCAGTACTAGACAAGGGCTACCAAAAATATGTTAGTGTAGTTTTTCTAAATATAACTGGGTTAGTGGGGAGAGTCAGAATCAGACCAAATCACAGATAAATGATCCAATAAGAATACAGAATCAAAACTAGAAATGGTTGGTTGCACAAGCATCGTAGAATCTATGGATTTGTGACAGTATACATTGGATTTGATCTCCTGTGATAATGTTGCAAAGCACTGAATATCCTGAAGAATCTTAAAAATTCTGTTTTTCAACAGGGATATCTGATTTGTACTTTTAATGTCATCATATCAAAATGCCAAATAGAATTCCACAGATTTTTCTCTTTAGTTTACTTTTGTGACTTGATGATAAGCAAGTCAAATTGTTTTAAGTGTTTCTATATTTCGTTGCAGCTTCTATAAAAGGCTTTGAATTTTGAAATAATTATTCAGGATACAGCATATTATATATTGCCCTATATATTTCATTGGAAGCATATTTTACATAATAAAGTATATTTCTGTGGTATATTTTGCCTTTGAGAGATGAGGTGGAATAAATACACAATAAAAGTTGTTGGCCTAAATGGGAAGAAAGAATTCTTTTACTTTGAAAAGAACTATGTCAGATTGTGTATTGTGTACAGGTGATCTTCGACTTAGGACCATTTGTTTAATGACTGTTCAAAATTACTCCTGACCAGTTTTCACACTTACAACCACTCTAGCATCCCTGGGATCACAGGATCAAAATTCAGGCACTTGACATGAATTTGTGATGGTTCCAGTGTCCCAGAGTCATCTGAACTGCTCTGACTTAGGCTTCCCCAAACTACGAGTAGACTCCTTGTCCCAACAAAAAACCCTTTGTATTAAGTTACTGTGAATCCCTCTCATTCACATCCAGCAAAGTCTTTCAAGGGTGAATTTACAGTCACAGGCCTTATCTGTCTTGGAGAGCTTCCAGGCCGATATCTTCAAAGGAACCTCTGAGAGTCACGAACCAATTAAACGAACTAATTGTCTTCTGCAAACTCCACTCCCCTTTTGCTCCTCTTTTATTCCCTCAGGGAGGGGCCATTTATCGTCCACCTGTGGTCTTATTCCCAAGTTGGCCCTTATTCCTTAGCTGTTCCCTTCATCTGGCAACTCTGCACATGCGCACACTGGGAACAGGCTCCAGCTGTTCGTCTGCCTCACTGATGTCTGACTCCAAAGGCAGATGATAACTCTCAGATGGCCCCAACTCTGCCTCCAACACAGAGCCCTCATCAGAGCCTTCTCCAGACTCCAAGGATGGCTCATGTTCCTCCCCAATTTCCTCACTGTCCGAATCTGCCAACAGCTCCGCTGACCACCGGTGGGCCACAAAATGATCATCCTCTGTAACCTTCCCAGCTGGCTTCTGACAGGCAGTGTCAATGGGGGAAGCCAGATTCGCTTAACAACTATTATTAATTTATTATTATTAATTAGACTTATATACCGCTTCATAGAGCTTTCAGCCCTCTCTAAGCAGATTTTTAGCAAATTGAGTCAGCAAATTGCCCCCACAGTCAGGGTCCTCATTTCACCCACCTCGGAAGGATGGAAGGCTGAGTCAACCTTGAG